TGCTGGCCACATTATTTCTCAGACAGGCCAGGATGCCGTTGGCCTTCTTGGCCACTGGGCACGCTGCCGGCTCATGTTCAGCCGGCTGTCAACCAGCACCCCCAGAAGCGGGAGAGCTTGAGTAAACTTTATTCCACTGTTGGTTAGCAAGCAGGCAAACTTGAAATACGAAACTCAGTACTTCACTGTGACACAGATAAACATTACAGTAAGAAACGGCCCGGAGACTTTCTTCTCATCACACCACTTCTAACCAGAACAGCATTCTTTTTTCCAGCTGGGCTGGATCTCAGACGATGCGTTCCTGACTGCTCAGGCGGACATCCTCGCCGGGCACCCCTCAGACCAGCGGCGCACGTCCCAGGCAGGCCTGTCTCCCTAGCGGGACACATCTATATTCTCCCTTTTGACTCAGCAGCCTTAATCAGAACAAACATTCACCTTGGCATCCAAGTTACCTGAACTGCCCCACCAGCACTGCCAGGTCCCGAGGCCCTCCCTGTTCCCTGATGGGGGGGGACACCCCGGGCTCTGAGCCCAACCTGCACCTCTTCCAGCTGAAAGCTCGGCACCTTGCTGTGCTCGGCAGTGGAGAACGCAGGCGGACGTACCCACTTCCCATGATCTAAATGCAAACAGTACCCATTTTGTTTGCCCAGCACTCTAAAATCTCGGTAAGGCCAGGGTTTTCCCCAAACCTATAAGCTTTGAAATAAATTGGAAAGAAGGTTGTAAAACCTTATTAAGATTTCTGATCTAATCAGTGGTCTACAGTTGCTATGGTAACAAGACAGTTATTATACACATCAATGGGGGTGATGTTATGCAAGGATTGATAGCTTTAGAAATCTCATGCTTCCAATTAAAATGAACCTTTAAACACACAGTGGTCCTTAAATGTGACTTCGTTGCAAGTCATCTCACTTCACCCCCACAAAATTAAATGTTACAGTTACGAGACCTTCTTTGCTCCACCATTTCAGGTGAGGATGCCCGGCTTTGGTTCGCACTGATCCTTGTGGCTGTTCACATTTGTGCACGCCTCTCTTAACAAGGCACCAGCAGCCGCAGTGGCCGTGAAGCACCACCTCTCCTTCCCTGCATACTGCTCACCTAGAGCCTCACCGCCGCAAGGGACGGCCTGCCCTGTCACCAGGGTGCAGCTCCAGCCACAGCAGCGGCAGACAAGCAGCAGGCTGTTGCTGGCAATCTCCGCGGCCCTTTCAAGTTGTGCCAGGCTATCTTAGGGTCTGCCAGGAATGTGGAAAATGCAGAGAGGAATCCTGAGGGAGCCGATGCTGCCAAGCTGCTGGGGCAGCCTCAGCAGGGATGCTCCCCGTATCCCTGGGGATATAGCACAACTCCCCAGGCAGCGCTGGTGTGTGCCCACAGACCATGAAACAGGGGACAAAAAGCTCTGGCCCATTTTCGTTTGGCACAGACATTGTCCAGTTCTGGATCTCTGCCGTGACGAAAGCAGAATGGACGCATCCAGCACATGTCTTGTGGAGACCTACCTCCGCACACACGGCACATTTGCAACCCAAATGGTTCTCTTGAGTCCAAAATACCTGTTTCCTTATTTGTGCTAGCCAAAATATGGGAGGAAATGAGGACCAGCAGCTACACACTCGCTGCATACTTATCCCAGCTTTGCAAGTTGGGAAAGAAGAGGAAAGGATTTTGAGAAAGATTTTTAAAGCTATTTAATGGAATTGGAGAGGATTAAGATACCTAAATTCTGTAAAAAAAATTCAGGCATTTCCACCTCACAAACACCACTGCTTTTCAAAGAAATAGGTGCCTGGAAATTTTTGAGTCATTCTTGATACTTGTACCTCCTGCTAATCACATGGCCTTTGTTAGAGCCCCCATTCACTCTTCAGACAAACCCCAGAACACATCCTGCAGCAGCCAGTTTAGTTTATGGCCTGATAAATCAAGACAGGTAGTTTGCCCCAAAAATACCTGACCTGAGAAATCTATCAGGCATTTAAGTCCACATATTGCAAGCAGGCTTCTGCCACAAGAGCTTACCCTTGCCCCGATGAAACCATACACAGGTGACTTGCGTAGACCTGTGGCAGCATCTCAGCTTTTGAAACTTACTTTATCAGAGAGATTTCTTAGAACAAACTAAAATACAATAATTTGATTACGATGGGGAGGAGAGATTCCAAGTTTGGGTGGACTAAGTTTGATTCTACAATATGAAAAGGAAATCAGTTTATACATTTTGGGCTGAGGATGTTACAAAAGGGATACATGATGTCTTATAAATAGAAAAACTGTGGGTAAATGTAATTGCATGAGATGTTCAAATACCTCATTAAAATACTTCAGAAAAAAAGTAATTTTGAATCATTGTTCAAACAAACCAGTTAAGAAGTAAAGAGAAGCATGTAAACACGTACCATTTGAGAATGGGAGCTTTTATATTTTAAAAACACATAGATCAACCAAACCTTTTTATAGCCTACTGAATGAGTTCACTATAAGTCAAAGCTGCTCTTCAGGAAGCACGGCTTAAGCATGCAGCACAATGCTGGGTTTGGGTTCTTTTGGTGTTTTTTTGTTTGTTTATGCAGCTGAAAAGCAAAGTACTATGTCAAAATAAGCTGATTTACTCAGTTCTCAAATGGTTTTGTGAGTGAGGTGCTGAAACTGGCACTAACAATATTCACGCTGAAATACTTCAGTGCACGCATCTTAAAAAGGAAAGGTATGTAAGCACACAAAGCAGTGGATAGTCTACCTGCAGCGTACTTACATGGCAGCATGCCAGCATCACTGCAATGAGCAATCACGTTTTGTAACGAGCCCTCTTCTGCAGAAGGGCTGCAGGTGCTATATGATACTGGTCACTGGTGTTGCCACAAAGGAAAAATGCACACACGTTTCTTATCTGGAAATTTTTTCACGCTGTGTAGTTCCCATGGGGACAGAAAGATGATTAGCATCCCATGAGATTTTTACCTTTCTCATAATCCAATGACAAACCCACACCCTTTTGTGGCTTCTTTGCTATTACAGTTTCTTAACGATTGTTAGCGCCAGTTATGAAGCACCGTGTCGATGAAAAATGAAAACTTCTAACCAGAAGTTGGCTGTGCCTTCTTCTGCCCAAGCACATTAGCTTCCTCTTCTGCACTGGTAGAATACTGCCCCGAAGTGGTTTTCATGCTGCCAGATGGCTTGGCACATTCATGAGCTGTATCTCTTTTTTGACAATCTCCTGTTTGCTCTAGCAGGGAAAAGGATTCATTTATACCCCTAAGCTGTTCTGTAGGCCCCATACAGAAGGTAATATAAATAATTATCCATCCCATTTAATCAACTGTTCAGAGAGTAGTAGTCAATATGCCAGATGCTTGATTAAATTTAGTCCAGATATTTGCGTATGTTGGTAACTGTAGCCCGATCTTACAGGTAAAGAGGTGTATTTTGAGATTGTCCCACATAGTACAGTTAAACTCATTAATGTAAAGCAATTTTATTATCAAGTATCATCTAATTTGCAGCTTTCTTTCGCAGGAGATATAATTTTGTTTACTAACTTAGGCAGATTTGCAGTGATTTACCAGTTGCAGAAACAAATTGAGCATGCTAGCCTGAAAGGCAGCAGAAAGGAAGGACAGAGGAATGACTGAATGAGGAAGTAGAACAGTAACAAATAGAAAGGAAAACCTGAAAAAGAATAAAAAATAAAAGAAACAGTTTTTAACAATTTTATGCAAAGCATAGCAGTTCCATAAGGATCTGGAAACACAATTTTAGCCATTCTAAACTATTATGTTAAAATTCATACAGTGCAATGTAGCAGCAACTAGAAAACCCTGTGTTTGGCCAAGTTGTTTGTGGAGGTCTCAGGTAGCAAGGAGTGGGGAAAGCACAGTATCTGACCCCTTTTGTGTAAGGACTTGCAAGCAGTAAACACATTTTAAAAATAAAGTGATTGTCCCTCTTGTCATGTGAGGGAGAGTTGCCCTTCTTCGCCCCCAAAATGCAAAACCTTGTCAAATCTCTGCTGTGTTAGAGATTGCTGTAACACAAAAGGATTGTAGTTACAATCCCACATTCCCTGCTTCTCCAATATGTCCCCTCTCATGACAGGGAGATCGAGAAGGCACATAGCACAGAAATGGTGAGGTTAACCTCAAGTTAAAATATACGTGCAACAAGTCCCATTATACTGTGCTTCTCTAGTTATGTAGTAACAAGTTCTCTCTCGCAGTCTGGTGAAAAGCTGGTGAGAAAGCAAGGACTCTAGCATATGCAGTTATCAGACAGCAGCTGAGAGTCTGTCGTGGCAAGAGCCTTTGGCTGCAACCATTCTCAACATGATGGCACTAGTGTAGCAAGTCTGATCCCTAAGCTCCATTCTCAACATGATGGCACTAGTGTAGCGAGTCTGATCCCTAAGCCGTAGCCCAGTTCACCTGTCTCAACACAGGCTCTGATGGGACTAAAGGCAGGAGAATAAACAGACTCTATTCTGCTTCGCAGCCCTCATAATGCCACAGCCACTTCAGGGAGGCACTTCAGACACCCTGCTGTCTTTTCCGGACCCTGAGCCACAGCCTGTGGCAGCTTTTGGCAACATGAACCTTCTGAACCCTCAGCCCTTTCCAGGAGAGGTCCTTGGGTGTGCCGTGTCCTGCTAGCTCTACATAATTTAGTGAGATTGTAGTAGTTGTGCTGGGCTACCTTTATGGCACAAGAGCAGCCCAATGGCATCATAAAGGTAGCTGAAGCGAGAGTCAAAACCTATAGACAAATACCCTACATGTGCTGACATGCAGCCACCACAGCAACAATTTTCCAAGCAGAGCAACACCCAGACTGTGAGGCAAGTTTGTTTCATAAAGGAAATGGTAGTTTTAGGAGAGAAAGGGAGAAGCTTCTCAAAATACACCTCTACACCATCCTGCTTTGGGGATGGTTTTGCCTCTCCTCTCTCTAGAGGGTAACGGTGGGCTCTGCAGGCAGCACAACTGCTCAGTCTTCACAACCCAGTGTTACGTATCTGCCTTGACTTGTCTGCCCCCATCCTACACTATGAAAAACTGCCGTGTGAAAGGGCACCCCTTTGTCTCACAGCTTAAGTGATGGGAATCACCTTGGATGTCTGTCTTGAGAAGAGTCCTAGGAAGGAAGACGTCTCACCCCCAGATTTCAAATGTTGTCATTTGTGCCAGCTAACACCATGCTGAGCAACGCTCCTGTGACTACTTCTCCATGTATCCTATGCTATCAGAGGAAGCCTTAGCTATTCTAAGAGCCAACTGTGGGCCAGGAAATGCATCAGCAAAAGTAGAAATCCAGCGCACACTCAAAAAGCAGCAAAGACAGGGGAGCAGCCTACTGTTGTGCGTAAAATGTACCAAGCCTGGCCCTGGCACACAGACTCATTGCCTGAGGAGGAGATGAACTCAGTCACATGCAGCGATCCCACAGAAAGGAGGAGCACAAAGAGAGCAACAGGCTGGCTGCAAGGAACAAAGTTGTGGTCGCTCCCCTGGAAACGTGCTGAACCACAGAGCTGCATTTAACGTTATTGTGTGTGACCAATACCAGTAAGCATCTCAATTCAGACCAAACTAAACCATAATATACACGAGTCCCTTAATTGTTCAGTTACATTATTAATACCAAGGGATTCGTCCTTCACTTGGTTTGATCAAAGGAAGAAAATATAGAGTACCAACCCGTGGGTGGAGGACATGAGGAATAAGTGACCAGACGTACTTTTCTTGCTCTTTTTTCTTCAAAATGAATAACCCTCTTCCCTTCCAAGTGAAAACAAATCAGGGGACAATGACACATCGAATTCTAGTAGAAGACAAGCACGCTGAAACAACAGTTATATCAACACTCCTACCTTCTTGAGGAAATGATCTGACTGAGGGGCTGCTCTGACCATCCTTTTCTTTATCAGAAGGAACTTTCTTCAGCACAGGTGGAAGAAGGGCAACTTTTGGGGAACTGGGGCCGGAGGGAGACTCCGGAGCATCCTCTGTGGAGTACCATGAACAAAAGCGTGAGAAGTTATATTTGCGCTGTAGCTCACAGAAATGGTGCTGTTATGATCAGCCAAACCTCAACACAATATACAAACAAGAAACAGCTAGAATCTGTGTCAGAAAAAGAAGGATTCAGAAATTTACATTATGTCAAGAGAACGCATGATGGCCCTCAGTTCAGGTGAAAGAATTTTAATAGACAAAGCAAAGATGTAAATTTCAGCATTTTTAATGTGTACTGCTATTGTAGCACAAATAGAAATCTGATGGGACCAACTGAAATTTCCTGCAAGACATAAGTATGCAATTTGTAAAGAACAGCTGAAAATTATTTTGGATGGATTTCTGGAAATATTTGTTCTATTTATATTTTTATTGTCCTGAAACATAATGAACTGATCAATTTAGATGTCCTGTTTCACAGTTATAAGGCATAAAAGTGAACCAGGGAAACAAATTTCATAAATAGCCTACAGAACTCTGCACTTCCACGAATAAATTGCCAGTACATAACATGATAGCATCTGCAAAGATCTTCTAAATAGAAAAAATACTTTGTCTTCTAGACTGTGAGGAAATCTGGAACTTAAATTCAAATCCATAGTTTAAACCATCTGGATATCTTGTTTCTCTAAAAGGCTGGATATGTGTTATGTATGGCAAGTTGACTACCATCTTTACAGTCCTTACAGGAAGACCTTTTCAGTCTTACACTAGACAGCCTTTGGACAGTAGGGAAGTACCGCTAGCTGCAATGGATTACTTAAACTGCTTGTACGCTTGCTTCCCAAGGAGTAAACAGTGGTATATGTACACAACAGAGGAACTAGGAAGATACATTAGTATTGATAGAAGGAAAGAAGAACTCAGAGTATCACCTGTATTGCATATTTGTACAATGAGTTAATTCAGTTGCATACTGGAAATTAATAGGAATTTATCTCACTGTTGAGGAGCCACCACAAAGGAGTCAAGCTTTTTACTTTCAGCACAGGAAAGTGATGACCTTCCAAATGCAACTCGATCTGAACAGATACACCAATTCTTGGACTTTCTCCACGCTTTCGATGCGCCTGTGAGGCCAGTTGCTTTGGGAAGCTCAGTATCAACATACGGATGAGCACAATGCTTGGCAAACAGAGATATGTATTTTCTGAACTAAAGCTGTTATGTGCTTTATTGAGGAACCACTTTCAGTCTTTGATAATTTGTGGACATCTGAGCTGTGTTCCTTTGCCCTCAGATTACTTAGCAAAAATTTGCTACCATTAGTTTGGCCACACCGCTGGAAACAACGGCGGGAGCAAAAGCATAAATAGATTATTGCTTGGCTTCTTCATCACATCGCTCGGGCGTGCTTAGCTTAGTTAGACTGCAACAGAGATGGTGCTGCTTTTACTGCCACCTGAGGAGCTGGCCTATTATGAGTAAATATTAATTACTCTCTGTGTTAAACCCACAGTATGCTCTCTCCGCAGGAAATAGGAGCTGGCAGAAACAGATAGCTCAGGTCTTTCTGATACCTAAGATTTTGAGATAACACACTGCCTATTTTACAGATTAAGTATCACGAAATAAGCCATGCTTTCCTATTGTATTCATTTTCGTGATCATCTTACCTGACACTTCTCACTTTTATGACCATTTCTAAAATGGTCAATAAAATAAATTTAAAGCCATCTAAAACCTGAAGGTGATTCTGTATTTGAACAATATTCTACCCACTGGAGTGCAGAGACTAAGTAATGCTCAGGTTACTCATCAAGGAGGTGGCTGTGATATCCCTCTGCCCCCTCGTCCTCACCAGAAATGACATCTTTCTAAGATCAACAGTGAGTACGGGAAAAGCCTAGAGGTCTGCAAGCTCTTACAGATGGCTATGCTCACATTTTTCAGTCATTAGCAATTAATAAGCTGTATTTGCCATAGCTACTGGGGGAGTCAGTAACTAGCATTTAATTCCCCCCAACTGCAGTGGCTGTACTTTGGGAAGAGGGGGTTGTGACATTGGCCTATTAAATAGCAGACAGAAAAATGTGCGGGAGATCTGCTGAAATATTTCCCGCTATTGGAAACCTTGAGATAATATCTGGGCAGGAGGTTAGGACAGAGCAGAAATTAATAGTCATTCAACTGGCACTCTTGCAGGGTTATAAAAGCACAGTTACAATTATTTCCAGTCAAAAGCAATAAGGAAAGAAACAAGGGCAAAACAAAGAAAAAGAGAGTGAGAGACAGTTGGTTTGTGCAAGTTATTAAGAATAACAGGCATTTGCTTGAGAGGCTAAGAGCAGCCTGCCAGAAAACCCTAAGGACTTTAGTATTTAGAGCCAGGTGTTTAGAGAAAATACAGCTATTTTTGTCAGTACTACTACAACAGGGCTTTGATGCTGAAGTAGCTTTTTATGCTCACCTCTTCCGTGAAAGCAGGCTAACTCAAAACAGCTTTACCGCTGCTGCTATTGCTTCTCAGGCTTTACTATTGCGGATCACAGATTAAACCATTTTAATAAGTTTATTTGAATTAGGGCAGAGGGAGGTGGAAAAGAAGGATGCAAGTCAAGAGCAAGCGACTGAAGAACCTGTCCCTCTACACTTAACTTCTGTTCAGGATGTGGCCATGGTTGTCTCCTCCATAGCCCACACAAATACTACTCAGAAGTACCCAGCTGGGGATAACGAACTCCCAGAAGAGCTCCTCACCGGTACGAGAGGCAGAGCGTGGTTTCTGTGGCACCGTGGGTCGTCCTGCTAGGCTGGGCTTTGTTGACTGCAGTGGGGGTTTTGGGCTGGTTGGTGTATTGGAAGAACTTCTTGCCTTCGCACCAGCTTCTGCCTTTGGTTCAGCTTTTGAATTTTTTTCTGATGATGCTGAGATGGAGTCACCTTTATTTGAGGCAAACCGACTCTCTGGAAGGGTCTGCTGGAGTTTAGGCACTAAAATAAATAGACACATAAAATAAAGTTTCCTGCCACACAGAAGGCTCTGTGCACAGATATGCTTGTGTAGAAAATACCATCATTAGCTCACATATCACTGCTGCACTGCTGTTTGAGTGTGCAAGAGGACCCCTAACATTTCATTCAAAATTACTGCAAGAAAAGCATTTAAAACTGCTAATTCTTACACGTGCTAAGCTTCATAATTCAATTGCTGCAGAGGTGATGGCATCTCCCCCTTTTTAATATATTTGGGGTGATGGCTGGCTGGACCTTATTCTTCCTTCATATTTCTGGGAGCAGATGGTACAACCTACCTGCTGAGAAAGCAGCGATGGATCTGAGGAAAAGGCAGCCTTTGGCTGTTTTGTGCCTCTACAGACAAAAGGTTGGGTATCCAAGATCAACAGAGAAATCCTGGCCCAGAAAATAAATCCCAAACGTGTGATCAGCAGGCTACATCTTGTTATTTGTTGCTTTTAGCAAGCTCTAGAGGAGATTTTGAAACTTAGCCAAGATCAAAGTATTCTTTACATAATATTTTGATTTATCTAATAACGCTGTATATAGATTACGGTTTCCACATATTAGCAAGTTTACCAACATATTATTTATTCCAAACAAAGACCAAGGTATTTACAGATAAAGCTACACTGACTTCCAAGCAATAAATCCGTCCTATCTAGCTGTGCAAGTTGGTGGAAAGCCTGCTGGACTCAAGGTTGCAAACAAGCAAAACGCCTGCCCTACTTTCCTACTCTGCAGCTTTCAGAAGGTTGAAGGCTTGTATGTAGCAGGTATAATGATAATCTTGGAACTTGTACATTAGCTTGGGACTTTCAACAATTGTGACATCTTTATTCTCAGAAGAGAATTACAGACTAACTGAAATGCAGACTGGTAGCCTTGGTACTTGGCAAAGCCAAGTATGTGCTCACAGATGCTGATTTGACCTACCTACCTGCTATTCCCATTCAGAAATCCTACTTGTTATGAAAGTGCTGAGCACAGACATTTCAATGGCAGTGGGAGGGAGGGGAATGTTGATATAGTTTGTTGCAAGCCAATCTCCAATACGTTTTTCCAGCTTATGTAGCTGTTTTTCAGCCCAGCTGGAGTTAAACTCTGGCAAACCATAGAGTTGTGTGGCGCATACATATTTGTGTGAGTGCGTGACACGGAGAGTTTGTGTCTGCATGCATGCAATAGATTTGCATGCTGCAAGCGAAACAGCAGGACATCTTCTTCACCTGTGTGTGTGCATACAAAAAAGCAGGCAACATCCAGATGTGAAGCAAGGAATAAAAAAATCCTTATTCTCCTTCTGCATCACTATCTATAGTTTTCCTGTAGCAATATCCAGCAATTTTCCATGAACTCTCTTTCTTGCCTTCCTAACCTCAGGACTGCTAATATTATTAGAACCAGTAAGTTAAAATAAATTAACCTGAAACAAAGACAAACTGTAGTCACAACAGCGAAGAGCAGCCTTGGGAAGCTCTCAAGCAAGAGTGGTAAAGAAAGAACCGACAGCTGGAGGCCAAAAGGAAGGGGCATGCACAGTGCAGTGAGGTGGGGGTGAAATGTGTCATATACAGAGACAAGGACCAGAGAAAAATTGGGGTCAGACACTCCCAGCTACTCTAATGCCCCAAACACAGACTATTCTTGCTCCTCTGACTTCAGTTTGATGATATCTGGAGATGTATATAGTACACAAGGTTCTCCTCAAAAAATAAGCAGGCTTTAAAAGCTTTGATTTATAGAGTTCAGCATGCTCTGAATATGCTGTCTTTTAGAACTAGCTTTAGAAAGGTATAAAACTTCAAAATTGATTTCTGAAATGCTCAACCAAGAAGGCCACATTTGGATTTTGATTTCAGCCCGTTTTATCAGCCTTGCTTCTGTATGTTTTGGCAACCCTATGTACCGTGCAGGATACCTACCACTGCTGTTGACAAATCAGACGTGGATTTCCTAGTTCAGCCCACTCCTTTCAGTCCAGTGAATGTGGCATGCACAAACCACCAGAGCTGAATCCCTTTTGAACACTTCACTGGCCAGTCCCAAAAGCATGCACAGAGACCAGAATTTCGTCTTGTCCTGAGATGGCTGCATTGTAGGCACTGCCACGTCAGGGCCCAGAACTACAGCTTGACAAGGTGCAGAGGGAATCGGTGCTGTAAGCACTGCAAGGCTGGACTCCACTTTGTACATGATGGAGAGTCATTTTGTGCATGTGTGCAGTGTCCAGGGGCACCACAGCTTTGCAGACAGCCCTGGCTTCGGTCAAGCCAGGTAAATCCTGGGAAGAGCCAGCTGCCATTGCCTATGAGATGTCTATTGTAACAGCTGAAAGCCAGGACTACTCAAGCTGGTACCTGCATTGACTACTATAAACCTTGCAAATTGGTCATATTTAGGTCATCAGGTGTATTCAGGAGTTTCACTTCTTCGTGCGCAGACATTTTTGCTGGTTACTGTGTTCAGCTTCAGCTTTGCTCATCCCATTACAAGTCAGCACCCTTTCGAAGGCGCCCCAGGCACATGCACCGAGTACTTTCCCTCCTGTGCGACATGGAGCACAAGAGTAAAAGCTGAGCCGTCTACTCAGCCCTAGAGCTGACCTCATGAAAAGTGTTTGTTGTCAAACACAATACAAAAAGTGAGCTTTGTTTCTAATCCTTTCCACATAGGCATACGCTCATATTTTGCTTAAGCAACTGTGGGCACACAATCTGGAGAGGGAAGTGAGATTTTGAGGTTAGGTATTTTGCATTTTCTAGAAAGAGTTTATACCAGGAAAACCAAAATGTACCTGTACCACTTCCATCCAGTCGTTCTGAGCTCATCGCCATGTCAAAAGACTCTCTGGGAGTTGTGTCATTCCCAAGTTTCTGAAAGAGTGAGAAAAGCTCTCATATTAGTAATACTACCTGTAATTAATACAACCCAGTGGTTCTGTTCAAAAAAAAGCTCTAATTTGGAAGCCATAAGGCAGAGAAAGCAGTGATAGTAATAAATGGTAGATTCTCTCTCCTTGTTTCTCTTTCAGGTCTTGGAGATCTAAGTAGGAAGAAAATGGCACTGATTTGATAACTAATACTGCCACACGTCTAGCAAAGCTGCAATGACACCCTGTCTCCTAAGCAAAAAGTCTTCTAATGTACAGGAGTTGAAACTAAAGGTGCTAGTTAGAAACAGTCTTTTCTCCAAAGATAGCTCCCTATTTAAAAATTCCTTGTTGAGGTTTAAAATAAGAAGTCTTTTTCTGAAGATCTAGATTTTGAATATAAGACTGCTGAATGGATCATATGCTTTTCCACATACAAGAATAATTTTTTATTTTAAATAAACTTACAACTACAGAAGCAGCAGTACCCACATATTTACAGGATTTCTTTGAAAACAAATAGACCTTACTTCTTGAAAGGTGTTTAAAGCTACCCATCACAAGGGCTGCTGGATGTTCAGCACCTCTAAAGAAAGGGGGCCTCTTGTTTAAGTGCTGATATTTTACCAAGTCTTTTATTCTCAAGAATAGCTTTCCTAACAACCTGGCCTCAAAAGAAAAGGTGGAAAGACTTTTGCCATATCATAGCTCTAGCCTAAGTGAGCTTGAAACTTGTGTATTCACCACGAGAAGTTTAGATACACAGCTGATGTGCTTGTAAAAAAAAAAGCCTCCTTTTACTGTCTTACCTGCTACCAAAGCTTAAGCGGAGGGATAAACAGAAGAATACAAAAAGTGCATAGAAATAAGTGCAGGATATACTATGACAGAAAGCCTTAGAAAGATAAGACTAGGCAAAAAAGTGAGATTTTTTTTGAAACTGAAAAAGCGGGAATAGACTTTTGCAGGCAAGTAACTTAAGGCAAATGATTTGTGCTGATGACCGTTTCATTTGGTTATATACCCACGCATAAGTCACGTTGACATGTTCAGGACACTGCTACTACTCCTCCAACACCAACTCTGCATGACTTGTGCTGGGATCTGACTGTCCCATAGCATTCAGAAACCTCCACCACGTGCTGTGCAGTGTACGTCAAACACGATCACTGCCCTTTGGAGCTTACAAGCTGAAAGACTGCTAGGTATAGCACGTAGATAAAAATTGGAACAACAGGAAATGTAGGAAGGAAGAGAATGGTTGCAAGTAGCAGGAGCATATACTAATTATAGAAAAACTGAGGATTTGGAGTGAAAATAGTATTTTAAATATAAACATAAAGGAATGGTCTCTAAATATCCATGCTGGCCACGTTGTCTTTCCCCTGTGGTAGTAACTCAACACAGGCTTTTCAAGAGAAGCAGATTTTCGGGAGCAATGCAGAAAACTGTGGTGGGCCTTACAGATTTACTGATACCCCCATTTTGCTCATGTAATCTCACAGCCCCTAAAACAAAGCCTCTCTTCAATACAACAAAGAAAAGGATGGAGATGCGGAGTGCCTGCCATTCTTGTATAAGACCTGGCAGGGTAATGCTACCTCCCGACCTCCCCACTAAGTACAGGTGTGCACTTAAAATAGCACACCCCATTAAGGAGGATGCTATTAGAATCATCATTAAACTTCCTGTACTGTAAAACTACCCCAATACAGATATAACTATCCACTCTAAGGGATTATATTTCCACAGGTTTTAAGTATAAAATCATCTGTATGTTAAAAACCACGTGTAAGCCAAACAACGAAGTCTTCTGGTCAGAAGCGCTCTAGAAATGCCATGACTTGTAGGGCCAGAATGGTAAGCTAGGGTGCCCATACATAGAAAACAAAGTCCCCTCCAAAGCTAGCAGGAACATTATGCTTTGTACCACTGGGTGAAAACTCAGTTTTTATTCCCATTTCTTGACTGTCATTGATATTTTGGCTAAATTCTCACCTCTCCACCTCCTACAGTCTTTGTAAGACTGTCTTGGCTATATATTTTTGAAGGTAATACCACTCTTCACTTACTGGATTTTTCTTCCATACCTTGGGAAAAAAAAAAACTTTTGAGAACTGAATTTACCAACAATTTCTTCATGGAATGTGAATTCTCATGAACTTTCACTGAAATACTCATTTTCCTACGTAAATATTAAAGATATATGCATAACACTTAGCTACAGTAAATGACTTAAGAGCTGTATGACAATATGAAAACTAATTTCGCTACAACTCCCTCCTCCCTCCCTCGTTAGGGGACTACTGGGGAAATATAACCATGTACAGAGGCAAAATGCCAGTGCTGACATCTATCAGTGTAGTACTTAAAAATGCAATTAGGATGTTAGCATGTTTGGCTACCTACTGTACACACATTACAAACTGCTTATGGTCCCGAGACAACACTAAACACTTGCTGCAAAAATTTACTCTGAGAAGCTGTCAATCATGTCACATAAATGCAGGTGAATTTATCATGTAGATAAATAATGACCAGGCTCTACTTTTATTAGGAATTCATGCAAGGTTGGGAAATACTGCAGAGTTGGGTGCCATTGAGAGTGAATAAACAGGTTACCAATGATCTTGGTCTGCTCATAGGTCTCGAGGTATTTAAAAATTCAGTCTGTAAACACTAGATGGAGCTAAAAGATCTTTTTATATACACCTAGAGGCAACACTAATCTGCAAATACTTGTCTTTACCATTAATGCCAATTTGCACGTTGTATTCTAAGCAAAAGAAAACAAAAAAGCATTTACCATCTTTCCATCTACTGTGCACCTGCTCATCACTTGTATCTGTAACAAGACTGCAGTAGGGTATGAATGAAATAGTAAATTCCTTCTGGCTTTGTTTTCATGTAAAATAGCTCAGAATATAAGCAGCCATCTGTACCTTAAAGGAAAATACAATTTTTTATCATACTGGAATTCTGACAAATTTGAAGATTTTAGGGAAGTTGATGTCATACCCTTCCTAAACAATGTAATAGCAGTGGGATGCTGTCTTCTGTAGCTCAACCATCAAGATACTGTATGATTTTCACCTTCATGAATATAATGAACAAAAGTGCAAACCTAAATTATTTGATATTGTGATCTAAGATTAAGTATCTGAAAAATTCTTTTGAAAAGCAGTTACATTTTCTGTGGTCTGGGCAACATTAAGAATGGATAACTCAGTGCCCTACCATGTACAGATTCCTATTTCAATTCAGTTTCCTTGTTGCTCTTTAAATAAAAATAATAATAAAAAAGACCTACTTTTGCATTCCATAAATACAAATTTTTACAAAATCTAACAAAAAAATAAGATCAATAAAATTATTTTCTTGAAAATTAAAACTGAAAGAAGGAGGGTAACCCTTCCAACCAGTAAAAAAGCAAAGTGTGGGAAAAAAAAGAATACTGTGAAAAGGCAACAACTTTTCTTTTTGATAGATGAAATGCAAGTTTTCAATCAATGCTATGAAAGTTCATCAACCGAAGAGGACTTTTACTCTCCCCGCTTAAAAAAAAAATCACACATGCTGATATTCTACCTCAAGTCACATCATTCCAGATCTGACTAACTTTAGATGACAAGTGCTAAGAACTTGAAGAGCACCAAGCATTTATGCAGTTGTAAAACTTTATATAATCTGGAGTAGCTTGGTATTTTATAAGTTACAGGCAGAGCATAACACACTTATTTAAAATCACATGGCATTTTACTTGAAAACTTGATGTTTTAGAAATCAATGAGACTATTCATGGGCACTACTCAGCACTAATGAGAAAGGTAAGAATTGGTAATTTCTTTAGAAAATCATTTTTATGCTGAGGATCCCTTTAACGAGCCATAGACTACTGTGTTAATTTGAATCTGCTTATTATAAGACTCCAGCGTCTGCAGGAATGGTTCAGACGTCATGGCAAGCACTATAAGACTATGAAGAAAGGTAAAAATGAACTTTGGGTGCCTTGCTTGGTCACAACAAGACAATTCTGCAATGTGTTAAAGGAAGGAAAACACAGCAAAGCTTGCAGATGTTGTAAGGTACCTTGTTGTAAGGTAACACTTTCCAAAATACAGGGGATAATGGTGGGGAATGGATAGCACCTGAATGCCCTGCATGTTGAAGAGGAAGAGAGGAGTGAAAAAAGGCTGATCCTTTCGTAATTTTAGAACATGCCAACTGCAGCTGGGAGGAAGCAGGGGATGATAATGGGGAAGTTCAATGGGAAATGGGCATCAGGCAAAACAGGTCAGCACAAAATGCTTTGGAGCAACACGAGGATATTCCACTCCGCACATTTGCGAAGTGAAGCAGGGTTCCTGCTCAGCATCAGCACTTCACAGAGGAGAAAACTAGAGAGAGCGAAGGGAATCCAGACAGATAATTGGGAATAGATTAATTTTTTTTAACATATGTTTATTTTCTTTGAGTGTTAGTATTTGAAATGCAGAAATCAAAGGCATAAAAATAATTTGGTGTGGTACAAAAGGACATAAAAATAAAAAAGTGCAACAAGAAAAGTATAAGCTGAATAGCTGTAAACAGTGTCTGGAAGCCAGATTTACTTCTCTGCACGGAATATATACTTTAAAATACAGTACATCTCTCCATCTTTCTACATCACCTTCCAAAAGAGAAGAGTACAGATAGTTACCACTGTAGTTAACTCTGCCAAACACCTGAGGTACTGGTGTGCAGGGGGCACACAGTAAGAAGTCTGTCCTAGATTTACCTTTTGTAAAGCATGCTTCCATTACACATGAATAAACCACACATCATATAGAGTGGAGACATTCAAGCTGTGCTTACTAGTCACCCCAAAATTACTCTGTAATACATGCAAACAATTACATGTCCTCTTCTGTGCTTGTGATGGCCTGACATCAAGCGCAAGAGCTGGTGTCACCTCCTCCACAGGAGGAGAGAAAGTGCAGGCTTAAGGGTGCATCTCCTGCTCTACATGTGCAGCCAAGTCCTTGGCCAGCATACTTGTGTTCAACCACCACAGCAGAGAGCAATCTCTTGTAGGAACACCATAATCCCTGGTGGAAAGCAGGTGATGTGTCAAGCCCCAGCCACCAACCCTTGTAGACCCAACCCACCTCCCCTGAAGACACCTAGCTCTTGTTCATTTTTTCAACTCAAGAGAAATCAAATTGTCTTCACCTTCTGAGCAGAGGCTGCTCTCTTCTCCTGCTTGGCTTTCATTTCTGCGAGAAGTCCACTGCCCATCACCTGCACGCCATACCTCCGGCCTCCTTGTGGGCTTCCTTTGCTGTCACCCCTCTCAGCTTTTGCCGCATCGTCGGGCTGCGCTTCCTCCAGCGAGTCTGGTGTCTTTAATTCCTCAGATCGCTCTGTACCACCGTTCTGCTCTGAAGGCTTTACCTCCTTCTTGCTTGTGTCCACAGCTGGACTTTTTGCAGTAACCTTGGGCGAGGAGGGCTCCTCTGCCACCAGCACAGTCTGGGGACGTTCAGATTTGGAGCCTCTTGATTTGATTAAGTTAAGAAAGCCACTCTTCCTTGAGTCCCTTTTCTTCTTCTCATCACCTGCTTCACTGGGCTCACTGCTGTCTGAACTTTTAGTTGACGGTCTCCTAATAAAAGACACAGACATTTTAAACTCTTCTCCACTCCCCTCCTCCCTCTCTTAAATAGTACCAAATGACTTCTCCTGGGCAAAGCCAATCTTTTGTATGATCCATACACTGCCCTAGGCCCAGTCATTAGCTGGTGTCTCTAAATGAAAAACTGGACAATTAACATTGTTCATACTGTCTTGACAATTCCTGTGCTGGCCTTATGCATGGTATAATGAGGAGAGGCAGCCGTTTCACCTGCACTGGGCACCCAGCTGTTTCCAACGCCAGACAGCTCTGCCCAAGCTCTCTATGCACATATGTATTGGGTTTGTGTGGCGAGGTTACGGGGGGGG